GTTCAGAAGCCTCCTGGTATTTTGGCAGGCTTTATATATATTATTTATAATAGTAGCATTTATAATAATAATCATACGGCATAAAGCGTAAAAACCCCGAAAAAACCGAGAAAAAGAAAACTTCCACGCGTTCGTAATAAATTAATATAATAAATAAATTTTTCTTCTCTCGATATATGCGATCTAATCTGGTGCGATGCAGTGCATTATTAATGTAAAGGAAGCTCTTCAAGGCATGCTATCTATTGCAGTGAAATCCTATACGTTGTTATACTGTATACTAGATAGAGGCTGTAAAGTCTCACCTATTTCAGCTGCTATTTATTGTGAGTGTTTTGTACGATGCAGATTAAGCAGTGAAATTACAGGATAAGAGGCGTGACATCTTAGTCCTCTGGAATGGCAACAAATGTGCGATATCCATACATGTATGTATATGGACGACAGTTACCGTTTCAAATCAGCTTGTTAGCCATTCAAAAAAAGTCTAAAGACTTTTCGATACATGTGGCCCAATTGGACGGAATGAGGTGCGTTATTTCAGTAAAGTCATTAATGCTAATCCAATACGATGGATGGGTGAGTTGCATTATTTCACTTAAGATAGCATCTCGATATATGCGTTCCAATTCGGTAGGAAGGGATGCGTGTTTAAATTATATTTATCGGTGATTTTTACTTTCCATTGCCAAATGTCACGCATTAATATTATCTTTAGATTTTTATCTGCCATCTGAAGTTAAAACGCATTTGTTATATGCTTTGATTATTATTATGTAAGGTAGAGTTATATCGCTTGTTGATCGTTTTATGCAAAGTGATCCAAGTCAAAACTCTGCAATAAAACAAGTAAATTCTAAAACTAAATGTACTCTGTAACCTTTATCATTTGTATATCGCACTAATAGTAGGTACTGCGTAATGTGTACATGTTTTCAACATGAACTGTTTTTTATTTAGAAACCGAATTGTTATACGTTTAAAGTTCAAAATTCCTTGCAATATGGTTATTAATTTAAGTTGTTTGGGTAATGGTTAACAATTGTCCGTTTGAATTAAAGCAATTTGTTGGGAGACCATATATTGAGAGACGATAATGAGAAGTAATCGCTCTCATTTAAAGTATTGACTTAATTGTTCAAGTTGTTGTTGAGTCAACTCAAGGCGTTTTGTAAGATGCACTTTTGAATATAAATTAGTTTTAGTTGGTGTGTACTTTGATTGCTATCCCTTGGGAACATATTTATAATACTGGCACAACCAAGTATTGTACATCTATACACAGTAATTAATAGGGATTGCCAGCCGTCTATAAACGATTTAGATTGTTTCTATTATTATTATTATAGCTGTATTTAAAGAGGGATGAACATTATTAATAACATTATATCTATATTATTCATATATTATATAAATATTTAATAGGAAGGAAATAATATTTTCTTTTGATATACATATATAACACAATACACGCAACACTACTGTATGCATGCGAACACTCACATTGTCATTTTAATTATATTAAAAAAATACATTATATATAAACGCAATCAATCATCCACATAAACTAATATTATAGAGAGGAATGATTTGGCGGTTTGTTTGTTTGCGTTTGAGAGTCTCCGAAACTACCGGACCGATACGAAAAAATATTTTACTATATTATTATACTAATTGTAATTTAAATATATCTTGAATGCATCCCTATTATAGAAATTTCTGTTTCTTTGATAAAGCATATCTACAATATGTGATTGTGAATAATTTTATTTAAGACAACAAAAATAGGAGAAATATTGATTATTTAAATTTGAACTGAATCTGTTGAAAATACAATTCATTTTCCTTTAACTGACCTAACTTACTCATCTTGTCCGGTGCACCGCCAACGTATAAAGTTAGCGCAGTGGGGTTAAGAAAGTAAATGTTGACCATACGACCCTTGGCATATTAAAGGTGCGTGACATAACTGAACGTAGGGGGCGAGAACTTTAAATAATCCACCTTTTAACTACGAGTTTTATTCACGAGAAACACTAACGAGCTACCGTGCTCCAGTTTGCTAGTTATTGTTCATATTTAACTGCTTTTGTTCTACGTCGCGGGACACAAGCATGTTTTCTAAGCACGCAATATTGTTATTAAAACATTTAGTTAGGCGCTGCGCAAACGTAGACACTTTTTGTTGTCGAGTCTAGATACAATCACAGAAAAATCGGGAAACTCTGACCTGGTTCTGTTAGTTGTTGCTTGCTTCTGGGCTTTGTTTGCGGTTTGGTAAATGTGTTTCCTGTTTAATAAATGTAATCACGACAGAAATCCATGAAGAAACAAATAGGTATTTAGTACATAGACAACTATTTACTTTCTATAAGTTGCTTAGAAGAGGCTACCCTAAAAGACAAATTCGTTACACTTTATCTCTAATACTGTAATTATAAATTAGTATAGTGAAATCATTAAGGATTATCATTGAACTGATTGAAAATGGATTTAAATGGAAACTACTTTAATATAATTTCATTAAAATATCTAATACTGATTGTAGTTTTAGAAGTAAACTCAAAGACTTAGAGAATCAATTAATTTTTAATTTAGCTCTCTAAATTCAACCCTACAGTTTATTTGTCAAGTAGTCTTTTGATTTCATATTAATAATATCAATTCATATTATTGGCTGAATGACGATGAAAGACAACTGCATGCAACTGAAATGCGATGTGTTAAGATGGATGTATGGTGTGAATAAATGAATACAAAACAAAAATGAATAAAGTATGAAAGTGACACAAGTGTCGAAGAAGTTGAAAAGTAATCGTCTGTCATGGTATGGATATATAATGCGAAGGAATGAAGAAAATATTTAAAAGAAAGTAATTTTTTAAAACTTGGTTGGTTATAAGGGCTGAAGAAGGCCGAAAAAGAGATGGATGGACTGTGTGAAAGATGATATGGAAAGAAAAGTAGTACATAACGAGATGACTGTCAACAGATATAAATGAAAGATAAAAACATATTACGTCGATCCCAAATGAATGGGATCAGGAAGAAGCAATTGGTAATATCAATTCATTATTGGTAGCCGATGTGTTGCCGCCAACACAATAAATAAAAGTGTCTACGTGTACGCAGTGCCTTAGTGAAGTTATTATTCCAGGAACTTTTATTATTTACCATGACCACGATTTCATTCAGATGAATTTTTATTGTTTACGCTATTTATTTAACTTCCTTAATTATTTACTCACACACTACTCTTTGAGCATACTGCGAATTTTCCTGGATGCGATATTGTCTAGAGATAAGTCTATATTTGCTCAAATTGTTCCTATTTATAATTATGACTATTTATAGGGGGATGTACATTATATAGTTAATAATAATATTGTATCTATATTATTCATATGTTATATATATAACAAGGAAATAATATATTCTTTTGATATATATAACACTATACACGCAACACAAATGCGAGCATGCAAACACACACACACTCATATTAATTACATTTAAATATATACATGTGTTTAATCTTCTTATGTAAATTTAGTTTGTATATAGTTATCACTAGATGGCGCTGTCCAATTGCTACAACGCGATATGTTTTCGTTTTTATTGTTACTTATAGGTTATAGTTTTTTATATCGGTCTATCCCCGGTCGTCCAATTCAAACGGGGATCAAAAGCACGACGGCCTGAGCTGAGCTTCGAACCTAGCAGTGCTCTCAAACTAGTCGTATTCGTCAGGCGGGAGTTGGCCTTCAGCCACTCCATAATCCCTCCGCGGGTTTGGAGTGCCATCTGCACTCGCTGTCTATCGTCTGGTGAAGCTGTAAAGACCAGCTGCGGCCAACAGCATTAGGGTAGTCCAAAAAAATGAGCAGCAAAAGAGTTTTCTATTATCCATTCAAACTCACTGCCGTTTACAACTATGAATTATAAACAATCTATTTCTAAAAAATCATATCACCTGTATGTTATAGTGGGTATGGACTTACCTATGTACATGCATTGTTATTTACTTAGTTAGGTAATCCTTAGATAAATTTGCCTTGAACGATGTTATTCCGTGCAAATATTGTCTCTTAAATTCATACTTGATAAAAAACACTAGTCGAGCCAATCTGCTATTTTTTTTATACAACGTTCGTATATTCAAAATTAAAAAAATCATGTACTCATGTGTCCTACATGAATCAATGATTTAAGCCACTTATACTTATGAATGTCAAGATTCTGTATTAGTGTTTTTGCCCTAACATCCTTAGTCTTGCGATTCAGCTCACCGCCTTCTGACGTTCGGAGGTTCGATTCCTCAAACAATATAAACATTTGTGTCCAAGAGTCTGATCGTTTGCGTTCGTCTGTTTTCTATATATATTATACCTATGTGTATGTACAAAAAAGTATTTATATCAGTTGTGTATTTATACTATAGTTGTACTCAGATTGGGACTAGATGGCACTGTGTAATTTTTCTCGGTTACATAGACACGCGGTAGCGTGTCAAGCCAAATTCAAGTAAGAGAACTGGCGAGCAGCACCATGTGTAATATTGCACGAACCATTTGGAGCCACTTTTGACCCCCTCATAACTCACAAACTCTTTAACATAAACGTATTATGTTACAGCCTTCGCAAGTTCTAAACCTGTTATTTATCGGTTCTTATTTTATTATTCAGAAAATTTGGCTTGCTGCTAGAAACTAGCCATCAAACATAATAATTCGTATATGAGAACTAGCCAAGTCAAACCTTAGGTTTCAATATATTATTTTAAGTTATAAGAAGAAATTATATTTTATTTGTTATAAATAAGTTTCAGGACTGACCATTGCACTTGGCATCCATTTACATATCACTTCTTTTGTCGTTAAAGTCAACAACCAAGTATACATATGTAAGATATAGTATAATATTGAACTTGGCTCTCATTTCACATTTATTTTTTAATGGGATTATTATTACGTTATTAATATACACTGTTTATTGTACAGGTAAGCGACGTCGGTGGTTGTGGCTACCACTTAGCGTCGATGCTGGGTTTGCTACCAGCGCAGGTGATTAACGTCTACCTTGGTTCCACGCTGCGGTCCATGAATGACGTGCTGCACGAATCCCATCTTACAGGGTACATAGTGTTCGCGTGCCAGGTGAGGATACTGTTTTTCTAAAGCACTTTTATAGTTTAGTAGTTTTATAAAAGTACTAGCTGCCGCACAAGCCAGAATCCTGGTGTATGCGGACGATAGTACTATTTCTGATAGGTACCTGCTTAGTAGAGCTGGAAGCGAAGGTGACTTTCCAACGACAGTATGATTCGATGAATGAATCTGACGCATAAGATTTAATGCCACTAAAACTTGTTTTTTTACCACAACAAAGAAATCCTTCAATCTATCTCCCACTTTTCGTCTTGATTTCTTACCATATTGATCTTCATGGTTTAACTATCATTCGAGCAGAATTTCGGGGGAAATATTAAGTCTAGTCCAAAATGGCATCCAAAAAATTAGACATCATCTCAAGGATTAGTTTAAAGTTTGTATACCCTTAAGTGATAAGAGTGGCCAATAAATATAGTAGTACAGAGTAAGAGGCTTTATTGTATAAGTATCTTTTAATAATAAACGGTAGATCCAAAATATCTTTTGGTATCATATTCCAATTAAATCCTAAAATACCCTAAACCTGTCTACCATAAAATACCTACACGTTATCTAAACGAAATTTGGGAACTGCTACTTTATATCGGGGGTCTGTAAGTTTATTTTGTCGGCAACGCATACCTGATACCTCGTGTCTCAGGCGTCCATAGGCCAGTAACTATTTACCATCATTGGGCTGTATTGTTCGACAGTGTTTCAACCGCCATGATCAGGGGTAAACTGACGAGCAGCGGGCAGATGGTAAATAAAACCTTTTTTATGGGCAGACATATGCGTCTACTTACACACGTCTTCGTTTGTTGCTACTTTGAAATTGAAATTGTTGTAACACTGCCGAAATATCGGGAACTTCATAAAAATAAAATGTTGTAAGATCCCGTGATTTTGACTAATTATACGTATAAAAATGTATCTAGTGTTAAGTTTATTAAATCATATACGGTCATACAAAAAAAATATCACACAGAGATGATTTTATAGAGTTGCAAATGATTTCGCGCGAGTAACCAGTTATCCTGACTGTCACAGACGGATGTAACCAAGTACCGTTTTATTAGCTTGTATACCGCTCTTTCATGTAGTGGGAACTGCGACCGACATACTACCCACGGGAATGTCATTACCAGTGTATTATTTAACGGTCGTGATACTACTAGGATATCGTCTTTCTTTCGATGATCATGGGTTCGATCCCATGTACGATGTCATAATTTGTATTTATAATAATAATAATCTCAGGACTATTCACACAGCGCCATCTAGTCCCAAGTTAAGCTAGCTAAAGCTTGTGTTATGAGGTAACTGATACAAATACATTTTTTTTTTCATAAATACATATATATTATACATGGGATACACCCAGACCGATACAAAAAATCATATCATATTATTATTAAAAAATATTATTATTGTTATTACTACTATACTATCTAGTACTATATGGTATAGATTATGGGTAACACAGGCTATGCTTGGCTGAGGACGAGATGGCCTTGGTTGTTATTATTTCTCAGGGCAATAAAATATTACGGCGTTTGTAATGGAAGTTATCGTTCGTGTTCGCATTTAGATATTCAATTCTGTTAATCGAACATGTCCTCGCTCATTGACATGACAAGGAGTTTAAGAGGTTCTAAATTTGATGACCCCACTTTCTCAATCTATGTAAGTACTAAAATACCAACTAATATAAATTGTAGAAAATTGATACTTTGATCTAAAATAATATTATAGATCCGCCGGAGTCGCCGTGGACTAATATTGTGATCCCGCTACTCCGGAAATAGCCACTTAGTCGGGATACCTTGGAGTCACGACTCCGGCAATAGGCGCTTCGTCGGGATACCTCGAAGTTGCGACTCTGGCAATAGGTGCTTCGTTGGGATACCTTGGAGTCACAACTCCGACAATAGGCGCTTCGTCGGGATACCTTGGAGTCGCGACTCCGGCAATAGGCGCTTCGTCGGGATCCTTGGAGTTGCGACTCCGGCAACAGGCGCTTCGTCGAGATATCTTGGAGTTTTTAGTGAGGAGAAGTCTCACAGTACGAGCTCGCCTTCCCCGCGGTGGGCGGGTCTCCATGAGAGAGTTTCTTAGGTAATACAAAAAAAGGTAATATTATAGAAAATGCAATGATTTTATTTTTTGTTTGTAAACATGAATTTCTATATTTATCGGATTCATAAAAATAATGAAATGATAAAAATTTAAAATGACTAATTTCATCTTCCAAATAGATAAAAATCAAGGAACTGAATAAAAGTTTATTTGTCCACCTTCATGTGTATGAAATTAAGGAAAAGGAAATGACTGCGATTTTTAATGTACTACATACTTAGATACTACGTGTTTGAACTTCTCCAAGACAGTTCCTGGGTAATTGACATTGACAGTACAATACTATAATTTCATATTAGCTGCGACTTAATACGCGTGTAGATTTATAGATCGCCATCTATCGATGGCAGTCAAACAACATTAAGTAAAGCACGTCACATTAAGAGATGTCCGTGGTGGTGGTCATGTACATATAATAAGCAACGGTTACCACTTACCATTAGGTTGGTCGTCAGCAAAACATGTTGTCTATCATTATTATTCCTGGAATTTCCAAAATGTATGTTTGTCAGGCGGAACGTGAAAATGTAATTGTGTCTGCGGCTTTTGTACCTATTATGTGGTTTGTATTGCCCCAACATTCATAACTGGTTTGGACAGCCTACTCTAAATAAATATACTATACATAATATGTGGACAGCGGAAAACATTTTAGTACAAATTTCCGAAATGTCACGCTCAATCTTTAGAATCCTTAAAAAGTTTATTCATCTCTGCATGTTATAACGTTAACCAATCAACCAATCTTTTGGGAAATCTTCAAGATTTTTACATGAAAGTTTTAATAACAATATTAGAGCGTTGAAATTGTTATCTAATGTTACATGTACTTACGGATTGCGGTAAACACTTGCCGTCAGCCGTTTGCTCTTTCTCCTTCTACGCTATAAAAATGGATATGTCTTTATCTATGCTCAGAAGGCTGAAGTACTTCTACTTATCTATAACTAATTTGACTAGCATGTAGACTGTTTGTGCTGTAACAAAATTTGCAATGCCTATCGTATTTTAAATATATACGACGTTTAAAATTTCCTTATCGGTTTTCTTTGTCTCCAAAAAGTTCACCATAAAATATGTTGCCATAAATCTACTAGTAATGGTTTTTTGTATTTTCAATTTCCTATATTTATATTAATCATGTCGTAAAAAATATTTGTTATTGCACTTGTTTACTTGTAATTTCCGCGAAAATTAAATCCAGTCTAAATAAACAGGAATGTTTTCAAAGAAAATAAGCCTGCCTTGTAGTGCGCCATCGAAAATAGTGGGCGTCATTTTTGAAACGGCGCCAAAGGGGTCGCTTAAATCTCTTTGTGAATTAAACGTCTGTGATAGGTCTCACTAAAAACTTAATAACTCCGATATAGAAACACCTCTGCCTTTTAGAAGATCTAGGCCAAGGTGAGATATACATATTTAACCCGTCGGTTGTTCGTTGAACAAGAAAACCAATTGTGATTGTGATGAATAACGTTGAAATATTCATGTTTAGCACCCTGCTGTGCTCTTGAATTGCATATTAGCTACTAGTTGTTTTAATTTCATTTTTTTTATCACGACTGTGGTGTGCCGGCATTCGGCTCACCAAATAGAAAAGAGTTGCCATACCATAGAACAGGAGAGTTACTTGCGAGGTCCCGACTTGACAAAATTTTCGGTGATAACATTTAAATAAATAAATGTATAATTTATATATTTTGCTTGATCGATATATGGAGAAAACATTGTAATTTTCTAACTGTGCCTAGATTAATAATAAAGAAATTAACATTTTATGTTGGTTTGGTCATGGGGAAATAATGTGGAATGAAAGATTGACAGTACAGATATACAATGATTGGAGAACAGATTTATTTTTAATATTACGATGCCTTTATTTCTCTGGTCCATTTTTGCGCCACTACCACTTTCTGCCTTCGCTCCACAAATATATTCTACCCAAAGGTTGTCTGGAAGAGATTGCTTATGCGATAAGATTTTTGTACCTTATTACTCTAAATTGTGTTCTTTGTAATTTCTTTCTGGTTCATTAAATGGTTAATTAATAAATAAGACTGTAGAAGGATGCAGATTTCAGAGAATGCCTATGCTGTTGATAGAGAGATCTGACGGTGGATCCAAGAGTACCGGATCCTGCTTATATTCTAGAGACAAGTGTGAAAGTGGACAAAGTAAGGGTTCGATGAAGTTGATGGAAGTGGAAGTTAGGGATAGTGATAAAAAATATGATGTTCACAAGAGGCCGAAAGGTTCTAACATACCTTAATATATAATTTTGAGTTTGAAGGCAATCGGTTCCTAACGATCCTTAGCCTATCAAGGCACTAAACCTTGGTGACAACAAATAGTACTTTAGGACTTGTTTAAAAAGTACGGTTCCAAATCATATTGAAAGTGAAAGTATAGACCCCAGAAGCATGACTCCTGAGTATTCAAGTAATGGAACGCATAAAATTTCATATTATTTTGTCAAGCCATGGTGTTGCGAATGTTATGGCTTCGTTTCTTTTTAAACTTTTGCGTTTAGTACACATTATTATATTAATACATACTATATTTAGTTAAACGGGTTTTAACATGAAAAAAGTTATGGTAAATAAGGGTATTTATCTCTCGATGTTACGACCGTGGCCACAAGCTGACTGGAATAACAGCAAATGTTAATGTTGATAAGTACCGGCAGTTTGTTCAACTACCGTCATTAAATTGTATGACGACAAATCGTGACACAGTACACCGAACTTTTTTTTATTAATCTTATTAATTGACGTCTCGATGGTGTAGTGGTTTAGTACACCACCTTACTAGTGAAGGTCGCGGGTGCGATTCCTCGCACGGCAAAAACTTTTGTATTCATGAGTACGATTATTTGTATCGGTCTAGGTATATTAATAGACATTTATTATTATATTTCCTCCAATTTACATGTAATATTAATAGACATTTATTATTATGTATCACCTGATGTATCACCTATATTACTGCAAAGTTTCATTAAAATTCGTTCGATAGTTTTTTTGTGAAAGAGTAACAAACAACCATCCATACTTACAAACCTTCGCATTTATAATAATAATATGATATCTAGGTACGTTTATAAGGAAATACAATCATATTTGTCACATTTGTTGAGTGTACTCGGTTTGTTTGTCCTGGCACCTTCAATGTAGATAATTTCGATATCAGTATCATTCTGTTGTCAGATAAACGTTACTTGGTTACTAGGTGCGTTAAAATAACTACGCGAAGTTAATTTTGTAATGGTTTATTTCTTTCTACATCTAACCGCGGTTTCACTCGCGTTAAATTTTAATAAAATATATAGCCTATATGTCATTCGGCTGCATTAGCTATATTATTGTAAAGTTTCATCAAAATCCGTACCGTAGTTTTTGCGTGCAAGAGTAACAAACAACCATACTTACAAACTTTCGTATTTATAATAATATTATAAACATTAAAAAATATTATAGAACATCGAAATAATATTTATTCAAAAAATTTAATATAAGCAATTTTGAATTACATATTTTATTATATTCCTAATTAGGAAAACAAACCCATTACAAGAAGAATGTCCAAAACATTGCGTATTTCTCTTTTAAGTAAAATAAAATCTCTTTTTAATATCTCTTTTCAAGTTCAATATGTGGCTACTCTAAATAAAATAGGAATCGAATCCGCGACCGTCGGAAGTAAGGCAGTGTGCTAAACCACTACACCACGGAGGACGTCAGTAAAAATATACTAGTAGGTACAGTGGTAATTAAGTTTAGTTTAGTAGTACTAAGGTGACCTTGAAGGTCCTCATTTACTGAGTTTTGTATTCTTTTTTCGCAAACCAAACTCTTTTCAAATCCTGTACTCTGAAACTGTCCTGTACTCATTTGTATAATTTTGTACTCATTTGTACTTAAACATTTTTTTATTTCAATTTTAATTGGAAGAGAATATTGTCATTAATAATATTAACTCTTTGAAGAAATTTACTCTTAAATTTATATTTAAACGAAGAAAAATTTAAGAACTGGAGCGATTCGAAAATAGAACTTGACAAAAGATGACCAGTACGCAGCGGTGGTTCTGCGTACTAGTCATCTTTTGTCAAGTTCTATTTTCTTGAGTCTACGAAATGTATGCGTTTCAAGTGACTACATGTGAACGTCACGTGATAAGGAAGGTTAGAAGGCCTTCCTTATCACGTGACCTCCGACTGTGCACTTAATAATCTTAAAACAATTTTATAAATAATTATTTATTATTTGAATTTGTTACCTGTATCACTGTCCATTTGGACTTTGATGTGTCGTTATTTTTTTAAATGGAACTCAAGAAGTTCTATATCGACCCCAGGAGTCTATGACAAACTGCAAGGGGTCTACGACAGCGCTCAACTTGTTGTTTTTACTCTATGTTTTTAACACTAAACTTTACTACAGTTAGAACGATACAAAAAAGTTTGGGAACCTCTGGTATAGATCGTTCGAAAATCGAAAACTCAAGTATTTATTCTAATCGGCTGTGTAGTTGGCAGAAAATCACTTATATTAAACCATAGATAAAGAAGTTTGCGCAGTAGACGAATTTGTACGTAGAATTGTTATTGAGCATGTCACGTGAATTTACGTGATATCAAAATCGTACTTCAAATAATATACATGTATATATGTTACGCGATGTTTATTCTGTAGTTTCCCAGTACAGTTTTATTAGTTCTTATCAATTGAAGCGGCGAACCGAACTGAGCTGTGCAGTAAGAAATCTTTATATATACCAGCAGCAGGCTTGTATTTAAAACCTGAGTTAAAGATCGATTGAAGGCTGATTATAATAAGCCGTCAGCCAACCAAAAAATCATTTATTCAAGTAGGACATTTTAACCGCTTATAAACAAATTTTTTTGTTACATACTTTTTCATTTCATTCCCTACCGTCAGTTGATAATATATATATATTATAGACACCTACATAAGTATACAATGTAAATGAACTGACTTAAAAAAAAAAGAAATTCACTACACTGGATGGTAATGAAAAAATATTACTACAAAAAATTTGACGTTCTTAAGATAAAATAATAAATGATATTTGATTAGTTTTGATTTGAAAAAAAAAGAAATAATTCTTTCTCCCATTCACACAATCATGATTCAGGTGGTTTTTTTTTTTGTGAATAAATTATTTCCTTATCATTTGAAACGATCAGTATTGATTGTGCAACATTTCATAGAAACTTCTAGTCGTAACTGTGCGTAAAAACTAGTTTAATCTAGGTTAATAGGAATGCTTTTCCCGAGAAACATCTGATATATGTATAAATTAAACCTAACACAAACGTTATAAATCTATCGTAAAGTAATCAGCATGTACAATGTACGTACCTACTATAAATCTTATCGAGTCTGTGGCAACAGTATGAACGAAGCCTTATAATAGCAAATAGTTCATGAGTAACAAATTATTCAACAATTTGCCCCTGCTATGTGAAGGCGCTAATTTTGTTTTAATAATATAGAACTCATGATACTCGCCAATAATGTAGCTTCGTATATGTGAAGGAATTTTTAAAATCGCTTCACATATTTTGGAGTATATCCATTACAAACAAAACACATAAAAATGAAATACTTAAATTTTCTCTGTAATATTAATTTCCAGATAATATTTAAATTTCGAAAATCGAATACAATAATTTGATTTAAAATAGTTCTAGTGTTGTTCTTTATAAATATGAAATTTGAAAATAATCGATTCGATTTATAAAATATTAAATAGATTTTAATAAAATAAACACGTAGTGATTATTTGCTCACACGACAAAACGTGTGGTCACATTCCGTTTTCTTTAATCTGAGTCATAAATATGTAATATTACTAAGATGACATGACATTCCTAGGTTTTTTATTCGTTGCTCTTCAGATTTTACCTTGCGGTTTGTTTAGTAATGAGAACCATATACCTGTTTTCTCGACTATTTTCCTCAACACAATAAGGTCACTTGCTCTTTTTCCCCATGGTAACATAAATTTACGACATACGGACAGGCAGATTTAAATTATGTACAATAGAATGCCAAATTATTAAACTAAAAAAATATTTCTAAATTAAATCAGCTTAAAATTTAATTCAAATGGTGGACATATTTTGTCATGAAATCCAAAGTCTATGTAATTGTGTGATACATAATAATATTAATAATGGAAATTTCCTATTGACTACTGCATTATGTCCTCGTATACTTATTCTTTAATAATCATTATGTATCATTTGCGGAAAGTGACGCGTATATCTGACAAATCCACACTCTGAATAAGTACTGCGCTTTAGACTGCCCTTATTAGGACGAAACCTTAAAAACTAATCTATCTAAACATTTTTTTGCAATTAAAATAGTCTAAATAAAATGGGATGTGTCTAAAAAAATTTTTTTGTATGGACCTGCGTAAAGTTCATATAAAAAAAAATATTTTTAGTGCCTGGACGTTGGCAACTCTTTTTGTAATGTGGAATGCCAGAAAACAGTGGTTACACAGGTTCATACAAAAAATATTTTGTTTTAAGTGACATGACGTAGGCAACACTGTGAGGCCCTATGCGGAATAAATCTTTAAAATTATGTCTGTTACCAATTTCTTAGCTAGCTTTAGTTAGATCTAGTTATGATAACCGAGATCGTCAAATACTATATTAGCGAACTGTGCAATTGTAGTTTTTTATGTTTTAATTTTGGAAAATCCATAGATTTTCAAAATTGAGGAGACTTCTTGAGACGACTGAGTTTTTTCTGTTTAACATCCGAATTCTTTATCAAGTAAAATATTTTTATGGTTTCTTTTATTTATTTCATGCGGTTATGTGTCTAATATGGGTCTATATACATTTGATATATGACCAGTAATTTTTGAGTTGTCTTTAATAACGGGATTGAAGAAGTGTCGTGGTTGAAAACTGACATTCATTAACAAGAACTCATGTCCCATTACAGATTCTCATCGGCATTACCCTCATGGTGTGGGTCGTCCAGAAGGCCCGCAAAGAGCTCACGATCGCAATAATGACGGCGGAAATGGGCCCCGAGCCGATATCTACCTCGAGCAGTTCCTCCATCAGCTAGCTGACGGCGAAGGCTTCCACGGACGTGGACAGTGTCTCCGAACGGTCGAGCTAGGACTTGGCTCTCCACGGGTGCTTCAGGCCGACAGTCTACGCCCGCGATGATGAAACCTACGTATGAATTTGAGGGGTTAACTCAACCCTGTGATACTATAATATAATTGCCACTCTACCTCCAGCAGGGTTGAGATAAAGTCAAGACGAAATCCAAGATTTAGGTTTTAAGGCAAATTATACATTTCCAATGAGTATATTTGACAACGTTGCAACTGCCTAAAGTATTTCCAATACGCTATCCAGATGTAGACTAAAAAAACGCTAGATTTACTCGTACATTTACGCCTATTTTAATCGACTTCAAGAAAGAAGTTTTGTATTTTGTAAACCTATTTTCAAGAAATTTATGTGTACTAATTTTGATTACTATTGGAGTATTCTTATATTGTTTTAAATTAATTGGCAATAAGATAATATTGTTTAATTACAGAAAGGTTCTTTCAACTACATTTCTCAGGATAGGCGCGCCATATACTACGCATACTTTTGTCGTAGGTACTACGCCAAGAGCCTTCGCAAGAATCAGCTATAGGTGTTATTACAAAGTTTTATCGCAATAAGCTTATCGGTGTACCTGAGCAGAAAGTACGAAAGAACTAACAAGTATTGATTTTTATATATAAGAAGATAATGCAAATAATTTTCAGTACACAATTTGGCTAGATTTCCTTTATCTAAAGCTAGATCTAGTGTTAATAATGAGCTCAGCACAGCGAATCTTTGTTTACTATCGCGTCTGGCTGCGTCAGCCTTAACAAAAACATTTATTCTGGTTAACGCCTTGGAACCAGTCCAAATATATTTCAGTTCGTACATAAAGTACCGTGCATTTGGTTTGATTTGTCAGTACAAGGCGGAGAGCAATGGTCAGATGACTTAAGCTAATTACATACAAATATATTGAACATTCATTAAATGGCATTAACTCCAAATATTTATTATTCAGAAATAGACGTTAATGCTTTAAATTTAAAGTAGATTTCCTATTCATACAGTTTATTATTAATTGAGCATGGCAATTATTGTAAATACTCTTTGCCGCAGGGTTGGGCAAAGACAATGGAACGCTAAATGCTCAGATTAATACATAACTCTTATAGTTTGTCTATATTCATGAACTAACCCATACAAGTTCCATAGTTAAGTGAGCTGTCTTTTTTTTTATATTATTCTCTCTTGCACCATAACAGAAAATATATAGAAAAGAAAAAAATATTTAGAGTATATAAGAGATCGCTTAAGCGATCTCTCACTTTTATTTGGTTCTTGGAGGCGTCCTCTATTGGTTTTTTTCTCTGACTCAATAGATCACGAAGTAGTTCTTCTACTCTTTTCAACGATCCTTTGCAAATGTCAAAAGTTAAACTAACTTAATGTAATTATTCTAATCTAATCTATTATATCGGAGCTCTACCCGTTTAACACACCGCTGTATCAGCGGTCGCCGGTTCGATTCCTGGCACGATGCAGACATTTGTATTCATTAGTATGATTGTTTGTATCGGTCTGGGTGTTTTCTATATATATTCTGTATGTATTTACAAAAAATAAAAATCTAATTATTTATATCAGTGGTCTAACACAAGCTTTGCTTAGCTTGGGACTAGATGGCGCTGTGTGAATTGTTCAGGGTTAATAAATAATAGTTCGTAGTTATTAATGAGACATTGGTATTCGATACGATTTGGCAGTATTGCCCGTTACGCCCACGCAGTAATATCAAGTAGGTTTGATCCTATTTATAACCAGTTCATTATAATATTATCTTTCAGAAACCGTTGTATACCTACCATCCTATAAACGGGCTGTCAAATTAAAAAAAAAAGATAATATTTTACATTATTTTCCTTTGCTCTTCTTTTTTTTTCGACCGATACTAATGCTGTTGGCCGCAGCTGGCCTTTACAGCTTTATTGCAAATGGCGGCGAGTACAGAGGACATTCGAAACCGGTGTAAGGACTTATGGAACGGCTGAAGGTCAGCACTGGCTGGTCGGATAATAATAAAGCCATCACCACCTGAGAGCTCCGTTAGTTCATACCTAGTTAGTGGCCGTATTTTCACTAAAAAGTAACTTTTTTAAATTAAAAAGAAAAACTGTACCATAATTTAACAAAAAAATACAAAATATAAAGAAATCTTTTAAACAGCATTTCTACCAGGCGATTTGCCCCGGTTTTAGTCAATGTTATTTCCATAACAACAAAACATTTTCAACATTATCCTCCGCTCGAACCTTGTCCTGACAATTACAAACTCAACAAAAAAGAATTAAATAGAATTGAAATGGATGCAGCCGTTCTAAAGCGAAGCTCTAACATACATTCGGAAATTTATTTATGTTTATATTATAATAGACGGCAATACAGAAGAAGATACTTCTTCTTATAAGTACTAAAGAATTAATGTTTTATTTACATAATATTGATGCTCAATTATTTATTAGTGTAAGTAAATACTATTGGAAATTTATCTGAAGTATGGAACATACGGAGATCGATGAATTTATCAATCCGCGGGAGGATAATCGCACGATAAAACCCATCCAATACCAAGGTTTACGATAGCACCAAAATAGTTTATAGAATAAGGTCACTGAGATAAACTCTGTGCAATGGGCACAGAATCCATAATCGAATGTAAGTAGTAAGCTAGTGTTTTAGCGGCAAAACCAAAAATGTGTACATAGTACGTAGATTTTACAGCGCGTGACAGATGTCATTGTTTATTTTTAAAAGAGTTTTTATTAATTTGATTAATATGAATGAATAATTTTCGGAAATTGTATATATTAACCGAAAGTATTAAAAATTGTTGCCAAATTTTAGACTCAATCTAAAGAGCTGATTATTAAAGTGTAATCAGTGTTTATTTTTTTATGTTTTTCATATAAATTTTAACACGCCCAAATGGAAGTTATTGTAAAATTTCATTTAGTTAGCTTATGCTTAAGTACTTATGTTATTGATCGTAGGTTCTGGACACAAGTAATCGCTAGTAAATATTGTTGGAAATAAAACACAGAGGGTGTAAATGTAAATTGGACTCCAGTCTCCGCAATTAGCCTCCGTTATGTCTCATAGAGCCAGACTCCTAAAATAGGCATCCAAACTCCTCCCAAAAGCGCAGAAGACTCCTGGTGTCTTTACAGGCTTCACGCAGCGACCTCACCGTTCCGAGGATTTGTTTTCGTTGTGTGGCCACTGCTGCGCACATTGCAACACAGAGGGTGACGCAAATAAGTAAATAAAGATTTACCGGCAAAATGGGCCGTATACTTGTTTGCCAACATCGTAATATATGAAATAGAAAAAAATAAACAAGACATAATTTAACAAATAACATCTTTGCCTGTTCCATCATTGAAGAGGAGATGGACGAATATGGAAAAAAAAATACAAATAACTATGGCAGACGCACAGAGTAGACCATAGTGTTACTTTGTTGCGCTCTTATGTAACCCAGATGCGTTTCGGCCGAGACTTTTAAACTATTAATTTATTTATATTATATATTTATATGATAATTCATACATAGGTTTGTTTTGATACCTTTTTCTTACCCAAAATAAAGCGTCCAGTGCCTCGGTATAGAGTTAATTGTTTTATTGGCACTAAATGATATTCACTTTAATGATTAGCTCTATTAGAGTCTTATTGCATATTTTGTGATGTTAACGCCGTACTTTGTATAATCAATATATTTGGCAGTAATGTTCTTATGAATGTAAGACTAAACAATGTCGGTAATACAATAAGATTTATTTATGGAAATGTAACAGAAATATTGTGATTTTTATATGTATATGTAGTGCAATATTAATATGTATTGTAACAGATTATGTGACTCGGTGAAGCTATGTTACCGTAAATGGGAAATTTCAATCAGGGTCTTGTGGAAATTTTGCAATATTGCAAGTATTAGTAATGATCTAACTTACTTATATTTTTTGGCTTATTTGCACTATGAGCCGTTACATTTAAATAATTTAAATTTAACGACTAATTAAATGTTTAATTATTTAAACTAATGTACAAATATAATATATGAATGTACATATGGTGAACTTAACAACTTAACACTAATATTATTAACGCGAAAGTTTATGAGTACGGATGTGTAGATGGATGGATGTTTGTTGCTCTTTTAAGCAGAAACTCCTGAACGGATTTTGATGACACTTTACAGCAATGTAGCTTAGTTTATACATTATAATAACACAGGCTATAAATTTTATGTAAGTGAAACCGCGGGCACAGTTAGTGTGTGATAAATTATTAGTAATATTTATCGCAATACATATTATAAAATGACCCTATTGTGACAGTATAGTATTCTTTATTGCACACACATAGAAAAAAAACAGTGATATATATAATAAATGCATTTGTCACGATTAAAGTAGGTATAGATATTAAGTATAGGTAAAGTTGTGGTGAGGGGAATCTGTGTGTAAAGGGCATTGTGTGTGGCCACATTTCCAGTTGTTATACCTTTTCCATTATATTTATACACTAGCTGTACCCGCGACTTCGTCCGCATAGAATTTGTTAAAAAGTTTAATAGGATTTTTTTTTCTAAAATAATAGTAGCCTAAGTTGGAGTAACTTTACTTATTATATCAGTTACCTGCCAATAAAAGTCCCGTCAAAATCGGTCCAGCTATTTCAGTGATAAGCCGGAACAAACAGACAGACAGACAGACAAAAATTGGAAAAATATGTTATTTTGGTGTAGGTACCGCATTTATATTCACATGTTACATACATACATACGTAAGAAAGGGTTATTCCAATATTACAAACAGACACTCCAATTTTATTTATATGTATAGATGTATTGATATGATTTTTTATACATTTACGGTGACATACTTCATTTTTTTATTTATCACCGATACTGAAACCGTTCTCAAAGAAACACAAGATCGATCACAAAAGATT